CAACTCAGGACTTTAACGCGATAGGTTCTATCGCCCAAGTATGAAAACAGTGCAATCCTGGTTGCACAGCATGCCTTCCCTGCCAAGAAAATGGCTCTCAAACTTACACGTGCAGGCCAATCTTACACGCTCCCGGACGAGTTGGCAATTTCCTCCTCATCATTGGAGGCTGCCCGCCGCAATGCTATAAACATTGGGTCCCGCAAAGATCTAGCATCATCAGCCTTGCTCCATTCGTCCAATTCCGAAGAGAAGGGCACGCTCGTTTTCGCCGTTTTTAAGCTCACAAAAGTGAATTTCCAAAATCAGCATCTTGAATAACTCCAGGTAAGCGAAAATTTGACTAGGTTGAAATTTGCCAAGCTACTGCCTTTAATAAAGGATAATAATAAACTCTCAAATGCAAAGAAAAACAGTTAGAGAAACCTACTAGAAGTAAGATTTTCTACCTTTACTTTTCATCTGTTATCTTCGTCATCCACTAAGTTTCAGATAACACCCATTCCGACAAAGTATTCCCAGAAGTTCACGAGATGATTGTATCACTTACAAAGTGAACTAATTTCAAACTGACTTACTCATTCGGAAGCCTGCTCTAACGTATGAGTTCAACATATTAGCAACAAAGGTCGCACAAACAGTTCATTACAAACAGACTAAGTATTATGAACTCTAAAATAAAAAGGTGCAGCTAACCCTTTTCGCCAGATATCTCGACTTCTCCTAAAATTCGCAAGTCGCACTCTTATCAATCAGCCGTCATCAAGTTGGGCAAGAATCCTCAGCTTCGGCTAACCTCATAATCAAAGCACGTTAGAAATGTGGAAAACGTCTAGGAAATTCCACATCGCCGGTAAGTAAACGGACAAAGCTTCCCCAGACAGGGCAAGGTTCATCATAGCATAAAGAATCTTTCTGATCAATACATATGGCTGGCTATTTCCCAGGTAAGGTTTTAAGGCTCGATCGGTTGATTATATAGGCAATATCCTCTTCAGATCACTGATAGTCGCACTTTGCACTTCAATATCATAAAGTTCTTAGTGCAAATGTCATGTTGTCGTGCAGATATAGAATAAAACAATCTACCGTAAGTAAATCATGCCATGCTTCAGTATGCAGGGTGTCCCATACGTATACACTGTTTGAACGTTACTAACTCTGTTGCTTTGATGCCTTTCGGCAAACTTTGGGCACCATTCTGTAGAGCGAGGTTCAACTTAGACTTACGGTATGGAGCGAATCACCCAGTTTTCTCCATTACTGTAGGATTACGGTAAGAACATTAAGAAGGGTTTTGAAGCATTGAAGGCCTTAATCTGCCTCAAAAAGCGAACCATACAAACTGGAAACTTTTACACTAGGCTAATAAAGTCACTGAAACCAAATATGAACTTTGCATTTTACCGCAATGCTTACTTTAAAATTTATGCCTGGTAAACCGCAATAGCTGCAAAATGCTTTCTGAGACTGTGATTACACCATCTGAAAAGCTTTACGGACTCCCAAAAAGTTGGATAATGAAATCGACGCGCACAGAATCCCCTATGCACCGCTTCGCAGAATTTTTGAAGGTTTTTTTCTGAAGCACGACTAATCTACAATGACGCTGTAAGTCAAAAGTTCCTGCCGTAATCCTACAGTGATGAAGAGCGATCGATGGTTTGCTTTATACTGTAAATCTAATTGAACCTCGCTCTACAGAATAGTATGCAATGATTCGCCGAAAGGCATCAAAGCAAGAGAGTCAGCAACGATCAAACAATGTTCACATACTTTTGGGACACCCTGTATTTTGCTGACACATGTATTCTAAACTGGAAAGACTATTTTTAAATACAAAATTACCTTCGGGATTGCACTGATTATGAGGTACATTTGGAGGTGAAATAAGCTCAATCTTTCTTTAGCTAAAGTTAACTCATTCTGTTAAGAGATATCGTTTTATAATAAACAGGTTTGAAGCTACCTCTTGTTTCAGTTTTGACGCCCTCAAATCGTTCCAATTATTGCCTTTATTCCATCTACAAATTCGCTTTAAAAAACTCATGAATCCCGTACGCACGAAGGTGCAATATGATAGGTTTTATCGTCAATAACCTTTATCATCAATATTAATTGCGCTAAGGAAATAACAATGAAGCAAGAGGTTTACTAGCAGCAAGCGATTTCATTTATCACTAAGACTTTGCAGTTGCTTCGAATGAACGTTGGTGTACATATCACTGGCAAAGATTGAATTGAGGTAATTTGGTGAAAATCAAACATACTGTATATCGTGGGAATTTCTACTCTAAAGTAGATCTTACCCTTTGGTTCGCTAATGAGTACGGCCACCGATGACTCGCTTGATCTATATTTAATTGCATATACGATCTCTTGTGAAATCTTTCAAATTTGTATATATGACTGCATTGCTTTCAAATTAGCTGCAAGGGTTCGGAAATATAACTCCAATATAACTCCTTAACTGGCACCAGCATAAAGTTGGCACCGTATTATCTAAATTGGAAGAAGCTTGCTTTAACCTTCATCTACAATTTTCATTAGTTACTACATTCTCTCCCACGTTGTTCGAGAATCCAAAGACCAGCTTACCTATTCGATGGAGATAAAGCAATATTGACATCTATCGATTTTTCGAAAGGGAAGGATAACTGGTGACCGTGGCCTTTTGGAATATGTTATACATCAGAATGCTTGCCTTGAAACGGTGATCTCGAATTTTAGCTACGGAACGCTATTCTGAGAAGAATTTGCACTGATACGCTAACACAAAAGTATCCGCACTAACCGAGGTCAAACGGACATCCATTGTGCAACAATTAGATTTGCAGCGCTTCCGCAGAATTTTGCTTATTGCAAAACTGGAAACGCTGAAATGGGAACTTCCACAGTATTTCAATGCTAGACTGAATGAGAACAGGAACTTCCGTAAGGCTTTATACAAAGCGCTGCGGAACTTTCGAAGAATGCCAGCGGTTCCGCAGCACTTTGACATGCCAGAACTTCCGCAGGGTTTTTAATGTGTTGTCTAATATGATGCTGCCTCGCCAACTAGAGTGCATTATCAAACATGTCAACGTAGCGCAGAGGATAGCAGGTGAGTCTCACAGTCAATAAAGTTCAAATCTCGCTTAGGTGTTCTCTTCTGCTGTTGTGGTGCGCATCCTTCTGAACTTCCGCAGCACCCCTATGGGAACTTCCAAACACGCCGCAAGTGATTCGGCGGAATTTTCCCAAACTGCGAAAGTTCTGATCAGTTGTTTGAGACTATAACTTTCGAAACTTTAAGCACCTATTAAAACTAATTCCTGCAAACGCGTCAGATGGAGGGAAAGGATATGGTTCTTGCAAAATATCGTCCCCCAGATAACGAATAATTGGCTTCGAGATCAATGTTTGAAGGCGAATGTCATGGCATATCTCACCTATGGAAACGCCACGGTCACCAAGTCTTCCCGTAAGCAACTAGATTTCCAATTTGTCCTCTGTGCGAGATATTGAGATACGGAACTCATGGTCTGGTCATATTTTTTGTCACAAAGCTGACAAAGGAAGGATCATCCATCGAAGTGGGGTTTCCTCACATGATGCATGTCATTTTGCTGCTCTTGGGGCCCTAATGTCAAATGCGTGATCCTTAGCTGCTCAATGATTTTCTGGGAAAAGTTATGAGCGATGGTTTATCCAGGAAGGGGCTAAGGCTCGCTTTGAGTTTGCGGCGCATAAAAACATGTAGACGTAGACGGATGGCCGAGTGGATAACTGCGGAGACTATGGGGCAAGTGCACTTTTGCAAATTGTTTAATGTGTATATCCAGAAGGTCCCTAAGGCAAGGAAACGCTCATAGCAACTTCATTGATAACTTGAAACAATAACCAAAGCCAAACATCATGAGCGTGTGTGGTACTTAGTCACAAAATGCTCAAAACACAATAACTTTTCACAAAGAGCACATTTAATGAAAACATTTGATTACCGTCTCTAATGGTGATCTGCTTTGGTTGTTGTTTCAAGTTATCAATGAAGTTGCTATGAGTGTTTCCTTGCCTTAGGGACCTTCTGGATATACACATTAAACAATTTGCAAAAGTGCAAAAGTGGTGGCTGCAGAGAGGATCCGAACTTTTGACCACTTGCTCCATAGTCTCCGCAATTATCCACTCGGCCATCCGTCTACGTCTGCACAATTGTGCGCCGCTAACTCAAAGCGAGCCTTAGCCCCTTCCTGGATAAACCATCGCTCATAACTGTTCCCAGAAAATCATTGAGCAGCTAAGGATCACGCATTTGACATTAGGGCCCCAAGAGCAGCAAAATGATATGCATCATGTGTGGAAACCTAACTTCGATGGATGATCCTTCCCTTGTGAGCATTTGCCAGAAAAACGCTTATTGAATGGCTTGATAGTTCCATCGCTGGATTCTGCAATGAGAATCATGTCAAACTCATGCATAACAAATCTGATTTATACCAAGACTGGAACGGATTGAAGACGGTTCATGTGCTCGAACAGCAGCTTCAAAGCCTTATAATATACAGTTCCACCAATTTTCATGTTAGGTAATTCGAACAACGATGCCTCTTTTGAGATGTTTTGAGTGTGCTCATTATCTCCACTGCAATGACCAGATATTTTGCGGTTAACCCAGCAATTTCAATCAAAAAGAGACTCTATGCTTTAGCATTTCGTACCATATCCAGCTATAATACTGTGTCGATACACGTTCTGTACATAATTATGTATGTGCAGCATCAGTATGTTGCACATTTGTCACAGGAAGGCCAAACTTGCTTTTGACTTAGTTATTTGAACCTTGTGTTTAACTTCAGCTTGTTCTACAAATCAGTCGGTTTTAATAACACTTTTACTTGAACCAATGAGTTTTTAGAGCTGAACAATTGCCTGTTACAAATGTGAGCATTTTTTGAAGATTGAGAAAAGCATTACAGCTGAATGCCGTTTATCTACAAACAGCAACAAAGGCAACGCTTGAGAAATAATGCAGATCAAGCCGGTTGATTCACAGACATAACGACTGATGGCTGTACTTCTCCCCATGCACTCTGAACCATGCCCACTGTTTCCAAATCATCTGCTGCACGCATGTGATCACCTTGAATAAAATTAGTTCATTATTACTTACACTTAGTTGAGAGAGCAAATAAATATTCGATACAATGGCAGCTTCATAGAGGAGCGGGGATTGGGAAGGTCGGATTGACCCTTGCAGTGGAGGTGCGATATGAGAGGCTTTTACGAAACAACGCTAAACGAATTTTCAAAAACTTTGATAAACAGATTAGCTTCGATATTAAGCTTTACTATCACCGCAAATGTGGAAGCAATTAAGATTTGCTTCTATGGCTCCTCCACAATGCTTTATGGATACGTTATGACTCGCTCTGAGCTTTAAAGGCAGCAGCTCGGCAGATTGACAATTTTGGGATATCCATCGTTCTCGGTTTCCCTGGATGAGCTAAATCCAAGACTGTGCTTTGCAGCTTCAAAAGATGTCAATAACTCTGTTTTTCATACGTGTAGATCGCTATCTGGGCGGACCGCGTAATCCTGCGCTCTAGAGCGCGATTGGTTGGTGAGTGGAGATACCGTACCCCCCGTATAAGTTATAAATTGTTGTATATTAATACAGCTTTTAACAGAGAGCTAGAAGGCGCTAAAAATGTACTCCAGCAGACTAGAAGGGCGTCACAGTAATGGCGCCTGTTTTTGCGAAGGTTAAGACTGTACCTCGAACGAGGTATACCTATCAAAAGCAGAAATTCTGATAGAAAAAAATCATGAGGGGAACATCTTTACCTGCTTCATCGCCGCCACTGTCCTTTTTGCTACCCAATGCTGATTTATTGGACAACCGTGATTTATCGCTCTTTTTGCTTTTTCTGCTTTTTTTCGCTTTCTTCATATTCTTCTCAGGCATGAATGTTGAAGGATCGTCAGGATTATATCTCAATGGTGAGTACGGCTAAAAGATTCAGAAAAGATTATCATTGGCACGTTTGAGAGAAAGCACGTCCATACCCTGATTTTAACCCTTGTGCGGTAACAAAACACCATCGAAATAATTGTTACTGATATAGAACTCAGAAAATTGATTATCAAGAAATTTAATAGTGCAGCTTTTGTATAACCTGAAGTTATAAATCATTTGATTGTGAAATAAAAGAGAGAACATTATCGTTGGTTTACTTGGAGCTACCGCATACATTGACTTGCTAGCAAAAATGAGTTACCTTCGAATTACTTGACTATGTTGAGCGTATTCTTATTATGTTCATGTTTGGGATAGCGTTGAGATGACGGTTTACTGCGAACACATGATGTACAGCTTAAACGCATGATCAGATGGTGACAGCTTGATAAGATTGATTCAAGAGAGTTCGCAATCAAAATCTTTCAGCTGCTTTGTTACGTAAGCTCTTGATGAAGCTGTTAACAGAAGTTATCGTAAAAAATGTGCCAGCTCAGACAGCGGATAGGACCCCTCCGCCGGAGAAATGGCAGGACCGCGGGGTTTCCCCAGCGGTGGGTCTGCCACTCGTCCGCCGGAGCCCTCCCATTTCTGCTCCGGAGACCTCCCATTTCTGCTCCGGATACCTCCCATTTTCTGCTCCGGAGGCCTCCCATTTTCTGCTCCGGATACCTCCCATTTTCTGCTCCGGAGACCTCCCATTTGTGCTCCGGACCCCTCCCATTTTCTGCGGCGCGGCTCTTCCAAATCTGGCGGACTCGCGCCGGGCAAATTTCTCCGGCGCGGCTCTGCAAAATCTGGCAGAGCCGCGCCCGAGAAATGGCGTACCTTTGCAGCAGGGCCGGAGAAGCGTCCCATTTGCCTGCCAGTGATGTCACCGCGACGGACCGCCCATTTGCCCCGCTCTCATTGGTCAACTGGGTCCGGCGCGACTCTGGCAGATTTGAACTGTCCGGCGGAGGGGTCCGGTCGATTGTCTGAGAGACTCCGAAGGTGGCAAGGTCAACCGCAATTTTGAAGTGCAACTATTACAATGGTCCGCTAGGTGAACCCAAATAGAAACGTTAGCAAGCTGACTACAAATATCGATGGATTACCAGCAAATGCCGCTACATACTTCAACGCCGTAAACTACTGCTATTTCCGCATTCGCCATAAGCTTCGGACAGAATTCACGCGATTTCGTCGCCGCGATTCTTCCAACAAGACAAACAGTTGCAAGTCCATTGCATTCCTAATATCTTGCAATACGGTTATGATAGTAAGTCATGATTGGTCGTGTTGGAGAACTACCACAACCGAAATGCAAGCTGATCGGCATGCAATAGACTCGTAATTGTTTGTTTCGTTGTAAGATGAAATCGGCTGTGAAATCGCGTGAACTCTGCCTGAGGCCATACCGCAACGTGCTAGGACCATTAGCCCTCAGAAAATGAACCTACAGAATCTACAGCTGTAAATCAGCTGTTGCAACCGTAGCCGTTGAAGGCAGTGTCCTATCAAAATTGAGATCGCGCGGACCTCAACATATGCTACTATAGGCTATTGCAACAAGTCCAACTCGATCTAAATCCTACGCTGAGAAACGTGCTCAAAGTGGTCCGTACCGAGCTATTTGGTCCGTACTGCCAACTACTCCGGTTTTTCCTTATGCGTTTCAACAGTCATTCCGCATGATGTACACCTTCATGTGTTGCTGCTACTATGACAGAGGCCAGAGTGAAAAGACATATCTTGTCCGCATTGCTTTTTGGAGCTCTGAACAGGTTCGAGCAAATAATGTAATTTTGCAGTGAGATCGGCAGATTCCTTTTTTGGTGACAAAAATTGTGAGGTGCCGCGCTGATCTCACCTGACTTTTATAAGAGCAGCGTACGTTTTGAGCTGATTTTAAGGATGATCTTAAGGAAGAAGAGTGCAAACGTTGAAATCCAGAAGAAGTTTCTTGAGTTGCCACTGGTCACTTACGGAACACATAACGTGACATAATACGGCGGACGATGTGCGCGATACAACGCAATTTTGGGTGCTTGCGAATAAAGAGTATCGATGAACAGCGTCAATCGCAGCTATGGAAAAGGTAAAATTTCTTGCCTTTCTTTGCAAATGCTATGTTTTTTGTGCAGCTGCGAAATGACGTACTATTTTTTCTATTTACTTTCCAGCAACCTCAGTTCCAGCAGTTCTGTAATACTTTTGGAAAATTATCAAACTTTTGTTACTTTCGTCTTATCTCAATGTTTGCTATGCTGAAATTTTAATAAGTACGACCGTAGATTTTGATGGCGACTGCCATTAAAGACGTTGTGGGGAGAATGGTGTCACTAAGGGCCGCATGCACTAACCTCCCCGCGGGGAGGGGATCGCAGCTTAAAAGGAAGCTTTATATTTCGAAACTCCAGATACCTGCATTTCACGTTGTGTACCTATCCGTAAGTATTCCTATTACCCTTCACTATGAACATGTTGAACAGGAGCGAGAAGCTATACGTACCGCATTTTCCAGCTTTTGTATGATCCCTGATGATCCCTGGCGCTTTTCTTCAAAGTCATTTTTCTTTCTCCGAAGTTAACGAAGAATCTCCAGAGTTGTGTAGATTGTCTAACCCGACAGTGCTAAGCATGTTGCTGCTAAGAACAAATGATGTTTTGAAGTCATGAAATTTGCGATGATCCACAGGTCGAAATTTGAGGCTTACCGAAAAATTCGACTTTTCAAAAAGTCATTTGTTCTCATCAGCAACATGCTTAGCAGTATTGTGTTAGATGTTCAGTACAACTTTGGAAGGTTTTCGTTAACTTCGGAGAAAGAAAAATGACTTTAAAGAAAAGCGCCGGGGATCATCAGGGATCATACAAAAGCTGGAAAATGCGGTTTGTACAGCTTCTCGCTCCTGTTCAACATGTTCATAGTGAAGGGTAGTAGGAATACTTACGGATAGGTAGACAGCGTGAAATCCAGATATCCGGAGCTTCAGAATATGAAGCTTTCTTCTGAAGCTGCGATCCCCTCCCCGCGGGGATATTAGTGCATGCGGCCCTAAGAGGTATACAGGGTGTCCCAAAAGTATGTATACACTGTTTGATCATTAATATCTCTCTTTCCTAAAAGTCTTTTGCCTGCCTTTAGGTACCATTTTGTAGAGCAGGCTTCAACTCAAATTCACAGTATGGAGCGAATCGACTATTTTCGTCCACTACTGTAGGATTATGGTAGAAATTTCAAGAAGGGATCTAAGCCACAAATAACACAAGGTGTTCGTTTTTCAAAAACGCGCGCTACTAAAAATCCAAATCTAGATTGATGGCTCAGTTAATACCGTATTGAGGCGCCGTAGATAACTTTGGGTCCGTTTCAGATCCAACTGACAGAGCCTTATTAGGAAGCAATTTTTTCAATGAAACTGCATATAGTGTAGGCCTTACTGGTCGCCGCTGCAGTGTATAATCCAATTGCAATTTTTTTAATAAAGGTAAGGATCTCTTGTTTCAATCTTGAGAAGAAGACATTTAGAAGTTATTGCTTACTGTCAGTATACTTCCGCAATTCATAAAACTATTTGAACTGCATCGGAACCTGCTTCCGTCTAGGTCCGGTCGATTTAAGCAAGCTAAGATTATCGCTTATGACCCGAACTCTAATCCCAAGTTAAACTTAGATAATGAATCTAATTATCTGAAAGGAATCATGTGCTTAAAAAGTGCGGATTTGTCAAGTATTTAGCAGCCAAAGTTTCTCTAATGTTTCAACACTTATCTTTTTAATAAATGCGTTTCTGCTTATCAACCAAAACTATCATAATCACTGCGACTACGCGGCTTTAGCTGCCTTTGAACAACAATCAACAAACAACAGCTTCCACCTAGTTGCGGGAAGTGTGATGACATACAGCTTGTTCGTATTGGCTGGATCAAGTTTGAACAATCTCCAAGTTGTACAAAAAAAGATTCAACCAGGTTATGGGAAAGGTATTGAGTTGCCGCAAGCTTTGTGCAGTGTCACAGTTTGAGCTGCAGACGACTCGTTTGTAGAAAGCGTGCAAAAATAATGGTCCTTTTGTAGGCCTTTTTTAGGACAGCTTTTTCCTCATTTTTTGAGTTTTCTCATACCCTATCTGATGATTGAATTGGGCTTCCAGTCATTTGTAAAAAGTTGCACAGCTTTGAACAAAGTCCAAAAAAAAGAATTTCATTGCAGTCATTTCTTTAGCCCCGAGTTCAATTTCGAACAAACGGCTCTTCTCGGAAATTCAACTGTCTACTCGCACACTTGAATATCTTCTCAAATTTATCTGGAATAAGTTTATCCAAACTGAAATATTGGGACCTCAACACATATAGTCGTTACTGTCATTCTATCCATAAATTTCTGTTGATCAAATCATTGTCAAAGCTTTTCTTTTTTAACGTAAGAGTCGGGCATCCTGTGACAAATTTCTTAAGAATGTTTGGCTGTACAGTCCGCAGAAATCAGGGATGTCTACAATTCGGGACCAGAGCTCGGCACAGGTGGCTTGCTAAGCAAGCTGGATATCGTTTTTGAGAGAAAAAGCAAAGGGGGTTTCGTTTTTGCGGGGTCAAAAACGAAATGGGAAATTGAGTGGGAAAGTGTGGGAAATTGAAAACGATGACCAGCTTACAAATCTCTGATGAGAAAACCAAGACGAGAAATGATAGAAAAATGGCGCGACCTGCATGCAACTACGTTCTCTTCCTTTCCCCCTCCCTTCCCCCCTCTTTTGATACACCTCGTCATCTTCTGGAGACGTAAGAAGTCCTCACCACTGCGATACTGACCTCACTCTTAGCAAAACTAGCAGTTTTTCGCTCTAACATGCTCTCCGTGCGCGAGTGCAAAGAGCTGGAATTCAAAAAGACCCCAAGATAAACAAAAAGCTTGTCTACAGTAAAGAGAAAATGTTGTGACACCAAAATTGGTGAGTAGATGGGCAATAGGGACTAGAAACTACGTATGAAAGTTTATGAGAAACTTATGTGAAATGGAGACGTGGCAAACTTTTTTTGGGATTAGGTGGCTTTCAAGCCACCTGGATAGCCACCTGAGGTGGCTTAGGAAAGAAAAAGTCATATATTTTTTCTCCCTCACACAAGTTTTTCAAACTTTTTTCACAATTGTGTTCTTCATCTCCTTACCTATCCGTAGAAACCTAAATCGCCGCAAACCCCCTCCTCTCTTTTCAGTTATAGGTCCCCAAATATTTGTGATGCGATTTCGC